AACCTCCTACTTTTCTCTCAACATCATGCAGATAACATGAAATGTGGGCACTAGTAGTTGTTATCCTGCATGGTTATACTTCTGTGGTTGGTTTCACAGGTTAGTCCCAGAAATTAAAGAAACCCCATAACAGACTCTCACCAGGATACACGTCCTGGGCCGGTGACATTGTATCTCAAAGTATAGTGTACTCTTTGGTAATTAAACAGCCCGGGACAGTGCATGTGAAAAATGCATGCAATCATCTGTAATATAATTTTGTTTTGAATAACTTATAAATAACACTGGCATATGACATGCCTGCCTGCAACATGCCAATGGCCCTCTCCCTTGCTTCTGGTAACATTCGAGGTATTACGGAATGCACAGAAAACTGTGGCCTTTTTCTTGCTGTGACCTCAGCTTTGAATTAAGGCCTTTTTAAAGGTGACCTGATCAGGCATTGTTCCACCTGGACCTCGTTGGGTAAAAGTGCACCTAACAAGCTTTTGTGTGATTGAAAAGTTGCAATCCCTCAGTGCACAAGCTGTATTGCTGGTCAGAGGGCTTAAAACAAACTGACAACTTTTAGTGAAAGTACATAAGCTATAACGATAGTATTCTTATTTAAGAAACTGTTGTTTCTTTTTCCATCAGTTATACTGCCTTGTATTGGAAATGTTGTTCCAGGGGGAAGAACACCACCTACTGGTCCATCAATAGTACTTAAAGTGGCAACCTGGTAGCAAGATACCAAAATAAAATTATTACCTGTTTCCAAAATATCCTCATAGGCACCTGTATTTTATTTCTGATTTAAAAGGTCAAGAAATTAACTACAACATACATTTACCAAGAACTATTACATAACTAGCTTAGAAAAAGCTATAAATATAATAGTAAGCTGCTATATACCACTTGGACTTCAACCATCACCTTATTGAACATCAGATTTCAAATGTTTATTTCTGAAATTTGTCTCAATGCAGGCAGTTCCTTTATTTCTCACTGTGTACACTTTGAATGACATCAGCTTACAGTATGTCCTTGAGCAATCCATTACAGATAACAGTATTTTAAAATGTATTTTCAAACACAACAGCACGTAACATAAGAATGCAAGAAAAATTACAAACACAAGAGGCTAGTTTGCCCATATTGTTTCCAGGCTGCTTTCTTCAAAGGACTTCATCAAACTGATCTGTGTACACTCAGCATGGTTCTAAATGTATCCTGTAAGCATTTAAATGTATTGAGCTTGTGTGAAAAAAGAACACTTCTGGATACCAGGGGCATGTCAACTTGTTTTGCATTAGTTGAACTAACGATGTTTGTGTTATCCATATTTATTAGTCTGATCCATTTCAGTGTAAAGCTAACAAACTATTTTGTGAATAATGTGGGATCCCCAAGTAATAAATGAGTTTAAATGTAAATTTGGACTGTTATGATTTCTCTGAGGTTACCACTAACATTATTTATGAACTCGAATAGCTCTTTTAATGACAGCAAAGGAACAATAGGTTTATTCCATGCTGAAAAGAGAAGAAAGAACACACAACGTTTTGGCTGTGGAGTCACATTTCAGCATGGAATAAACATTACTTGTTCCTTTGCAGCCTACGAATGCTGACGCAGCTACCCACCTGAACTCTTTTAATGACTGACAACTTCAAAGTGGGGTGACATAGTGACAGACTGGTTATCATTGCTGCTTTGCAGTGCTGGGGTCCTGGGTTCAATTCTGCACCTGGGACACTATCTGCAAAGAGTTTTTATATTCTCCATGCACATGGGATTCCTCTGGGTGATCGGGTTTCTATCCACAGTCTAAAGACATCCTGGTGGTTTAAACGGGTTTCTGGAAAAACTGGTGTGTGTGTATTTGTGTCCGTGTGTGCCCCCGTGATGGACTGGCGTCCATTGTGTGGTGTTGAACATGTCCTGAGAGAATGGTGTGAATAAGAATCCCAATGAATATGTACTGTACATATGGCTAAAAAACTCTTATCACCTGACACTAACAAAGAGTCAATATACTGAAGGTCTGGTGCAAAAGGAAAAATGGCAAATCTTTTCAGTCTTTTGTACAACAATTTTCAACAAAAGTCAACATTCATAATGAATAAATTGTCTGATCACCTTTTTTAACAAGCTCGTTGGAAAAATACTTTCTATAACAGGGATTTCACTACAGAATGTAGAGTGTAATAGTTCTAGGTAGGTAATTTAACCTTTGTTTCACCTTTTGTTTGTTTGTATAACCTTTTGTTTTGAATCAGTCTGTCCATAATGATTCTATTATTCCAAAATAGTGACTGCCTCTGTATTTTAGATTTTACAGAGGATTTTTAAAAGTCAAAGTCAAGCTATTAATAAATAATTGCACTTCCATGCAAATCAACAACCTAATATTTGTTTATCCACAAGGTTCATTTATTCTGTGTGGTAGGATTTTCTTTTCTCGAAAATGTGAGAATAGCAAGATACCGTTTTCTCTTAGATATGGTTCCCTGACTACACTGAAAAAATCTTACGAATAATGAATTCTAGCCTTCTTAAGTGCTAAGCTTCACATAAAATCCCTCTGCCTTTATCTATTGAGTCTTAATAAATAAACAGGTTTAGATATGGCTTAGAATCACAAGACCCTTTGCTGGAAAAAGCTCTTGGTAATCTGTGTTATTCCCTCTAGAAACACGTTTTTTAGGAAGTCTTGATATCTGGTTAAAAAGCATGAAATTCACAGAAGCATGCAGTAAGTCAGTAGTGGGGAACAAATAAATTATTGGAATTGAGCACTATGTTGTTTTTTCTTCTCTAAGCTTCCCATATTTCTAATATGGTTACATCCTAGACAAATATCAGATTTTCAAATACATACAGTACCATTGTTATTGATAAGACTTTTTAATATTCTTATTCTGTAAATAGAATAAAACAAGAAAATACCAAATTCATGTAGTAGAGGTACTGTAAGAGAAAGCAGAAGACCATGCAGTCAGTGTTTGCACTAGCAAAAAGTAATCTTGCTGTACCTCTTTCTGTAGGAATTTTTTGTAAATTAATGAATTTTTTTTTATGTGCTTTACTCACCTTTGTACCTGTTGGTTGTACAGTGATATATTACTTTTGATTCATTTTTGTACAACCCTGAATGTATTGTTTACATAAATAACTGGAAGAGATGATATTAATTATCATCTCTTCCAGTTATTTATGTCCAGTTATTAATATGATAAAATTATTATTATTATTATTATTATTATTATTATTATTATTATTATATTAATTTGTTGTGAATGGCACTGTACAAAAAAATAAATGAATGCTACCAACTGCAATTTAAGGTTTTCTCAGCGTACTCCAATCCTCCGATTTTTTTGTCTGCAGTCACATCCACGAACAGATAAAAACTTTGGGGTTATCACTGACGAGTACAAAAGGGCTAAATGGCTACGTACAGCACACCAGCCATATCTGAAAGAAACATTCAACACAGAAGGCTCCCAAACCTATTCAAATCCTGCATAAATAAGGTGACCTTTTGATTGTTCTCACAGACAATTTGAGATACCACAGCATTTTCAAACTGCACAGAATATTTGTAAATTCAGTATTACTCCTATTCTAAGATGTAAATAAGTGCTCTTGTACAATAAACAGGTAATACTTATCACCGTTCACTCTAAAATCTAATCTTAAATTACCCATTCAAACAAATTTGTAATGATGTACTGCTGTTCAGATGGTCTGATAATAGGCAGGAACTGTGAGAACAGCAAATCTGTTCTATACAGTATATTTATGGTCCATTGGTATTGACAATGTTTTCAGCTAAGGCATAATGGTGAATTTACAGATTAATATATTTCATTATAAAGGCAGTTCTAAAACAGAGTTATATGGTCTGCCTACATATAAATGCAACTGAAACTGGACTGATTTTAGACGAGCCCTTGATGAGAAAGTTGTGTAAGGACTAAGCTTATTTATGTGGCAAAACACACTCCTGAAATATACCGATCCCAATACAAATCAGGCAGATAATATACTGTAACTGTAATTTTTTTCCTACTTCTCCACTACTTCTGTAATGAACAGTTCTTTCCAGACCCTATGCGGACGACACAATCCGACGAAGTGGGGAAACGTCATGCAGGAATACGGGGCTGAAGACAGGGGGGCGTGTCCAAGGTGCGCTGGTGCACGGGGGAGGTGTGGCCGAGGCGAACAATCCCAAAGAGTAATCCTTAGAGTATCCAAAAACACACGAGAAAGTCCAAAACCAGAAGATCCATTAGAAGAAGGAATTAAAAGCCACAAAGGCCGGGTCAGAACCGGCGGAACCGGGGAACAGGAACGGGAACAGGAAAAGAGGTTAAAACCTTAACGGGACCAGGCGCTTCCAGGTCCCGGACTCGCACGATACGGAAATCAGATGCAGAGCCCGGATGACCGTCAGCGCCTGGCTTTTAAGGTGGGCTGGGAATAGGGAACAGGTGCAGAGAATAAAGCCTTAAGTAAAAGGGCTGGAGGGGGAACTAATATCGTGACAACCATCTTATAAGGTGTATACTTAGCACTAGTCTGTGGAGTCTGTGTTGATAAGGAATCCTGAAAAATGGCTCTCTGAGATGTTTTTATAGGGATTATTTTAGGACACGTTAAGGACACTGGGTTCTCTCCATGTTCAGTGCCAGGGCAAAGCTTTGACTAGTTCATTCTATTACCGCAAAACAATAGATGCTCATCTTCGATTAAAAAAAACTGTCACACTGTGATAATTTTTTTCAAGAAACCATTGGTTTGTTAATGGAAACATTTATGTATAGTACTGTATGTAGACTCTTTATAAAAGTGAAATTACAAAATATGAATAGCTTAACTTCACATTAAAGAAGAGCAAACATTCAAATACACATTTAATGAAAGAAAACATCTAAATCTGTCATAATACTTGACACACATAAACGGATTATGCACTGAAGTTTTAAAAAACTTTTTTATTAAACATGATTCTAACACTTAAGGACATTGATAAACATCCTTACAGAACATTAAATGCACCACAGCCCAAAAATATAAACAAATGAATGTGACACAATAAAGATTTAAATTACATTAAATGACCTTTTTCACATTTTGTGTCTTTTAGCAGACAAATAAAACTACTGAAATGTGTAACACAAGAACAGTAATAGCACAGAACAAGAACTATACAAATTTAAAACTGAAACTAAAATTGCAAGTATTAGAGGTACAGTACAGTTCAATGCTGTTTTCACTAGTTAAGCTATAAGCTAACTATAAGGTCTAATTTTTCTTGATAATCTGTATTTGTTATTCACTTATATCTTTTAAAATCCCCAAATAGCACTCCAACTGCAAAAACAAGCATTTATCATGCTACTTTACCATCAAATAAACTATAGTTTGAAACTACCACAATGGTAAAAAGTTTAATAAACTTTAAAACTATAAATGGAATGTATTTTCTTGTAAAACAATGGTGTATGCTGTTAGAGTTGACTCTTAACACTGCAAATAAACAACATTAGAATACCAAATGCAGAACACCTGTTCTAAAAAAAAGTTTACAAAATAGTTTTAACTATGTACTGCAACTTCAAGAACAAAAATATCTTATATCTTTATATTTTGTTAGCATTTAGAAATGTAGTTTATGACAGATATAAGAACTAGAATCATTAAAAAGATTATGAAATTCCAAAGCAAATTTGCAAACACAAAAGAATACTAATGTACTAAACACTTGAAGGTTGGTGAACTATATCATCAGTTGCTGAAGCTCAGACTATTTCTCTGGTGAAAAAAAGGTCATATTACATATCCTTCAATTTCCAATCCACTCGAAACTATAGGTTATTGTTGCTGTAATGTCTCATAAACAAACTTCTTCAATTTTACCGATAAAATTATTTTGAACAGTGTACTGTCTGTGCCAAATGAACGTAACACTAATAGCGCTGACCTTCAATTTAGTAGTCAGATAAATTAAATAAAACTGTTCAGAATCATTCAGTTATGAAAATGGTATTACAAAAATGTGCTATTATTTTCTTAGTGTGGGCATAATTTGTCTCCCATTTAACTTCTATTCCAGTTTGAAGTTAAATAATACAAACAACTGTAGAGATGAATAACAGTTTTTGGCATCTTAAGACTTCCAAGGTATTCAGATGAAGTTTTATGTATTTGTATCATTGAAAAATATCAGCTGGAAACTTCGCCATAGGATTTATATTGCAAATTAATCAAACATGAATTGAGAGACCATGTAATATATATATATAATCAATTAGTGTAAGCATCTTAAGTAATGCTAAAGGGATTAACAAGGGAAAATTTAGGGTTAAGCTTGATAATCATATACAGATTACATGAACACTGAACAAGTCAATGCCCCTTACAGATATAACAAAATACAGCTGATTTTAAAACAAATCATTATACACTTAATGAAAGTGTCTTAGACTTATTTTATACACAATGTATTGTGCTAAATTTACTAGTACCTCACTACTGCTAAGTGTTAGTATCAGTTATTAAAAGTCTTTAGGCAAGGGAGTTACTTAAATGTTTTAAACGATATGCTAGGATGTGACAATAAGATAGTAACACATAACGCCTACATTGCAGCCACTGCTGCTTAATGTGGTTTAAAAGAACGGAGACTGATTAGAGAGATAAACTCTTTGTCCACCATGGCTGTCATTGAGTAGAGGGAAGGGTGGAGAGACTGGGTAGCTTGGGCAAGGGAAGGTCCTGCATACATAAGAAAGCAGACCACTGCCTGAGGTTGCAACTGGAGGAGACAGGCTAGGACATGCCAGACCATGACATGTGGAATCTAGAAAAAAGGCAACAAAAGAAGAAAACTGCATAAATAGTCAGGTCTCCTTTAGCATTTCTATACCTGTATTGCAGTCTGTGAAGTTAAAACACAAAACTGCAAAAGTGCCTTGCAAAAGTATTCACTACTCCTGCCACGTTTTCACATTTTGTTGTCATCTACTTGCAATCCTGAAACTTTTAAACAGTTTTTATTTTGAATATACACTACATAATCAACCCAAATTGATCAAGCAAAAACTTGCTTTTAAACCATTTTCAACATTCAACATTAAACCATTTGAGGTGCAAACAATAGTTTGAAAGACATAAACAGTGTAATGCTCTGTGTGTGTAATCGGTAGTTAATCTTCACATTATAGTTAATGCATCAGTCTGCGTATATTTTCACTGAGGCAGTTTCTTTTTGCAAGAGACTGTCCTCATTACAAACTGCCCCAAAGGTTTTCTTTTTAATCACTTTGGATTTTACATGTCCTCCTGCTGTTTCCCTTCTTTCAAGTGCTTGATCACTAACATTGTTCAATAAAGCAAAAATAAAACATGAATAAAAAATGAAACATTAACATTTGTTCAATAAAGCAAAAATAATACATCTTAATATAAAAGTTCTGTCACTTGTCTTCAAATGTTGAGAGGTCTCCTGACACACATATTGCAAAAAAGGTTTCTACCAGAAGATTTATTGTAAAATATCACGTGTCTGGCTCTCAAAACACACAGGAGTTTTAAAGTTTTTCATTCCCTAAATAAGACCACTTATTTTGAGAAATAGCCTATAATCCAATACATATTTTTCAATGATTTATGACATCTGACTTTTTGCTTCACTGACTTGGAAACATAATTTTAGAAATATACAGTTCTGACTTCACAGCTGTCTTCAGAAAAATGTCAGTTTAAAACCAAGGGACCATCACATATCAAGCAGAAAATGCCTTTATTACCTAAATACTGTGAACTTTATCATTTTAAAAAGACAATATTTAAGTGTCTGTTTCTATACACACTGTTTTATTTTAAGAGGATTTAAAGAAAATCAAGAGTGATCTCATGACACAGGCATATATTAATGGCATGTAATACTAACCTAAATTCCACAGCGCATTCTGTGCAGCCAGTTCTTTGGCATCTTCCAGGATGGTACAAAGCTTGTCTGGCATGAAACTCCTGTGAGTTGTAGAGATGACCACTTTATAGATCAACAGAAGTTTTCCATCCTGACCTGTTGTGGAGTACAAATAATATTCTGGTAGAGCCCAATTGTTCTTGTTACAGAAGTAATCCAGACGTGTCACTGCAGAGATGAAATGGTTTGGCTTTAAGGAGAAGCTGCTTATCTCTGTAAGATTAGATCCTGGGTAAAGGGGATACATGCATCTCTCTGTCCCAGTGAAGGAGGGGCTCTGCTGGCTATTTAACCTAGCAGGCAAGCTCAGCGGTCTGGAGGGGGAAGTGATGTTCCCATCATCTTTATTTTGTAGTAGGAAACCCTCAGCATATATGGGGCCCTGACCCTTGAGACTCTGCCTTCGACTATTCTCTTTATTAACTGGTTTGGCCAAAGTCACTTCAATGTTTGCTCCATCGATGTTCTTCCCATTCATTATATGCATGGCAGCTACAGCGTCCTCACGACTGTAGAAGTGCACAAATGCATAATCCGTGAGCTTCTTCACTCGCTCCACTGCACCAGATTTGAATTTGCTAAATTCATTTTTTATGGTCTCCTCAGTCGTGGATATCATCAGGTTTCGTACATAAAGCACTTTCACCCGCTGCATAGTCTCTTCATCAACATCCTTTTCTGGTTCTGCCCAGTCTACCTGGATAGTATTTCCCCAAAGCTGAAATGTGCCTGAAAGAATTCCAAAAAACAATCTGTGAACCCTAACTAAGCCTCATGACAACACACACAGAAACAGTTATTTTTGTACCTTGTGTCCCCACGTAAGACTGAATAGAATTCTGATATTTAAGAAATTTCTAAATTGCTGTATACTGTATACATATAAAAATGTAATAATTACTAGACTTATTCTTCTTTTCAGTAATAATGTAAATTCAGTAATAAAGCTTTAATGTAACAAAATCCTCAAAGAAAACCCACATAGATTTCTTCTAATATTTAATTTATAACTTTTTTATTTAATTTTTAATGCGTAATATTTAATTATATAATGCTTTCATTATTTATAAATCCTTCCTCTAAAGAGAATTCCATTCATAAAACAACTCTTACCATGCGTAACAAAATGACATTTTATCACATACAGCATTTATGTTACATTATTTTTTACCATAAATTAGTTACTGACAATAAACAGACTTTTTTTACTAGACTGAATGTCAAATTCAATTGCACTGCACTGGAAAGGCAAGACCTTTAAAAGAAACCTCATTCTATATATTAAGTAAAGCAAACTAACAGAAAAAAACATGCCTACAGCTAAACTCAATCATGATTACAGGCTAAAAATTTTCACCTCAAATGAATCCATGTTAGCACCATTTATTATTTTAACACAAGTGCCTTTATTATTTTATTAAAGCTTCATTATCATACTCCTTTATTTACTCAAATTACATCATTTCAAGCATTCAAAGCTTTCGGACACCAGGGAGAGAGAGAGCTGTGAACATAGAGGCCCAGACCCAGTCGAGATTGACATTGTACACTCACGCCCTCAGGGTGGAATGAGTGTCAGCAACCAGTAGGGCTCCTATAGGGACCGCGAAAAGGAGGACTGGGGAAAGGGGAGGCGAGGAGGGAGACAAAGTGGCTGCAGTTGATTGGAGTTTCAAGGAAGGTTGTCGTCATTAGGGTGACAGAAAGAAAACAGCAGGATGCATGGGAGGTGTAGAGCTAGCCATTTTCCTTAGAGAATTTGAGGTTGAAGAACTGCTGTTTGAGAAGAGCTGAGAAAGTGTTTCCAGACTTGGTGAATGCGACAAAGGTCTTAGCAATACCAAACGCAAGTGAGAGGTGTCTGTCTTTGACAAGACCGTAATGCCATCTTTTAGAAAAGGTTTGCCTAGAGCTGTGGGCACCCTGCGAGTATTTATAGGAAAGCAAAACTGTTAATAAGAATTTGACTTCTTCCCGAACATCTGCTAAATAATATAAAAATCTACTGACAGACAGGAATTAAAAAGAGATCCACTGTATTCCAGGAAACCTAAGCTTAAGAAAAAAATTGAATTTAACCCAAAAACAGTTTTTTACAGGATACATCATATATTAATTTACAAATATTATCTATGACAAAACAATATTAACCACAAATAATACACTATTGATCACAGTTGGGGTTAATTCTCCCTATTCCAAATCCCAATTCTTTTTTTTTACGTTTGCAAAGCGTAATGTACATTCCAGATATATTCATACCCCTTGAAGCACACCCCAAAGTGTTGTGCTGTAACAGGATCAAAAAGTGGACAAGTGGACAAAACAGTGGACAAGCACACAAAAGGCAGTAGTAAGGAAAATAGTAACAGTGCAATTTGTTTCCACTGTGAGGAAACAAAAAGCCCACACAATATAAACACATCATCTAAGATCTTTGAGATTGTAACTAGACATCTTTGAAATCCCTCTCTAATAATAGCTGGCCAGCTAAGCTGATTACCAACTCCAAAACCAGGTATCTCCCAAAAACCAACATACTACTTTTCCAAAACGTGTTGGACCAATCAGTCAGGTGATCGAATGTGGCAGGTCATTCCTCTCACCTTTCTGGGGAATATATTTGAGAGAAAAGCTGTTTTCTTGATAATATATGTAATACTTTAGACCAGAAAATATGAGGGTCACATTTATTTACACCCCCGTTGTTAGTATTTTGCAACTCTGTGATGGATATACATTAAAGAGATGCCTCCTATGCTGTGTGACACTTCTGGGTTTGTTTTTTTTACCCGTTCCTCAAGGCAGAATTTTCAGGGTACTTAAGTCTCATTTCTTTTTCTAAGCCACCTTCTTGAGTTTAAACCACAAATGGTCATTTGGATTGGAATCTGAAGACTGAGATGGCCAATGAAGAACATTTATTTTGTTTGCATTTAACCACTTGGCTATTTCGATGGCTGCTTTGCATAATTGCCATGTTGGAATGTCCATTTCTGGCATAACTTGAGCCTTTTGGCAGACAGAATAGGGTGTCCGATCCTCCAGGTGCTCTACTCCCTGATCTGAAAAAGTAAAAAAGTGAATCACAAAAGCCTCCACCTAGTCTATATTGTCACTGGATGGAATACTTCTCTATCATTATCTCCTCTTTCATAGGACAGAGGAGGGACTTTCAGAGTAGGGAGCAAACCACATGGAGGTTTGTAGGACACAAGAGGGACTTCAGGAGGACGGAGGAGGGAGTTTAGGAGACGAGAGAAGTATGCTTTAATATGGACTATGTTTTTGGTGGTCTACCCACAGAAAAGGTACCTTCCTTTAAACCTAGCTATGAATGCCACATATGGAGCTAGGTTTAAAGAAAGCACATGATGCTGAACAGTAATTTGACACTTTTACCTTGAAGACGTCAGTTTGTGTTAGAGATCTCCAACTGTTGCCTTTGGGTTCATGGTTGCCACACAAACCTCCTGTCTCACAGAGAATATGTACTTTTGCAATACCTCTTTCTGGTAGGGCTGCCATATATTGCTAATATACCAATAGCAATGTGACTTCATTTTATTGCGCTGGGAAACAGAAAACCTTCTGAAGCCTCTGTATAGTTCCTGAGGGTTCTATTATACTTTCAAAGAGCAGAAAAGAGCAGATTATTACTGTATATTTGTTTTTTGATAGGAATACCGAGAGGTGAATAAATATAACCCTCATCTTTTCTGGAATTCAGTTTATAACAAATAACCCTTACTCTGTGCAATGTAATTATGATTCCATTAAAATATTTTTGATTTTATAAGCAAGATCCAATCTGTAAATGTGTACTATATGATATTTTTTAATCCCCTTTCATTATGAAAATAAATAATCCAGAGGGCACCGTTAATATCACATTTCATCCCAGATATTTTATGATGTGAAAATCAAGAAATCTTCAACACTAGAATATAAAAAAACATCTGAAGTCTTCTACCCTCTCTGCCACTATTCCAAACCTTTCCCATTTCTGTAATCCTCAAGATTCAGTAAATAAAGCACAATATTTATTTTTTTATCTAAGAAATGTATTCTGTATCTTATTTTGAACTATTATGACCTTTAGCAAATACTTTTTAGTCAATCCATTCATTTTCTAATCATTTCATCCAATTCAGGATCACTAGGAACAGGAGCCAATCCTGGCAAGCAACTGGCCCAAGGCAGGATACACCTTGAACAGGACTTCAGTGCACACACAGTCTAAGACAGAAACATGCACACACTCACTCCAGGGCCACTTTTCCCAGAAGCCAATTAACCTAGTAAGTGTTTGGACTGTGGGAGGAAACCAAAGCACCTGGTGATAACCCACTCGAACACAGGGAGAATATATAAACTCCGCCTGATAGGACAGCAAGGCAGCAATGCTAACTAACCACTTAGGCACCGTGTCGCCAGCAAATACTGGGTTCCTTAAGGTGAAATTAAACATGGAATAAACTATTATAATGAAGAATACAAGTAAAGTACACACCTACCAAGAAAAGATTTCAAAATCCAAATATCTCATTTTACCATTAAAAAAATCATATTGCGCAGTTTTATACTAGAAGCTCATATCATAGAGATAACATCTGTGTAGTTAATTTTTCATTTCTTAATTGCTGTGCAATAGACTTCGCCCTTAGACAAGGTGGCTCCAGGGATCTGGTATGTAAAAACTCACAATGTCAAGGTGGAGCCAGCTTTGTTGCCAAGTTTATACAGATCTTATACAAAAAAAGGCTCAAGAGCCTATTTTGTCATTACTGCTAAAATAGCCACAAACTCTGACTGCTTCCTAAAACCCAAGCATCACCAACACCCTGTACCGTAAGCCCTTTACCTACTCAAACATATCACTAATTAATGACCAGTATGTAGTTTACAAATAATATGACAATGAACTGACACCCAGAGAAACTACTGACAGCATAGTGACAGAGGCCTTTGATGGCCTCTAGTGGCAGCTCTACTGTTATGACGAAGCTTTCAAAGACCAGCCTGACACATGATCATCTTTTTTTTGGCTGTGCACATGTGCTGCACACCTAGCTGCAGAAAGATGCACTACTTTCAGCCTGTCCATTTTTCACATTGCATTATTTCAAAACATATAAAAATGTTTCAGTGTGACATGCCAAGCTTAAACGATTCCATGATTCCAATAGAGGACTATTGTGATAATCATTTTTAAACACAATAGGGCCTCAACCAATCACCAATGTTGTCAGAAGTCTCTGTTATTGGTATTTCCAAGCCTTTAAAATAATTTGAAGAGGGAAGTAACTGAATTCATTAAAACCAATAACCTTATTTAATATGGAGCCACCCTAATTTGATCAAACTTTTTAGCACAATTAAATATCTTCCTTATCACCGTCTTCTAAAAGAAATAGTTACCTGCTCTGAGAAGCAAATACAAATAGTGGAGCTAGACATCAGAGAGATAAAAAAAAATTCAATACCTTTACCCCAGCCTCTCTGTAACCACAGCGGCTTTGTCCCCCTCTCTCTCTCTTCCTTAGTTAGCCTCTTCCATTCTCCCTTCTCCAACTCTTTTAGTTTGTGGTCAAACATCTAACCTTCCTCACCTAGGGCCCCAACTTATATACTGTACATTGTTTTGTCTCACAGAAAACCCTAAGATATAGCCTATAATCCATTTCACCTCTGTAATTCTCTTTGATGAACTCACAAGTATCAGTTACTGAGCACTGAAGGGACAAGTGCTGTTTTTTATAGTTTTTTAAACTATTTTTGCATTAGTTTAGAGGTGCAGGGTGACCAGTAGAGGAGAAGTTAATCTATGAAAAGTCTTATTTACTCTTTTAAACATTTATGTCCCGTTCTGAGTGCTTGGTATCACGACTTAATAATAAATGTTTAACTAACCTTTCTAAAACAGTGTTAACCTGATAGTAACTAAATAAATAGCCTGTTTCCAACATTAAGCATCTGTCATATTTCAGTATGTCTTGTCTTTGTATCACACATATGACAGCTTAAAAGATTAGAAGAACAGGCACACCATAAACAATTTATCACATCACCACGTTAACTATAAATGCTACATTTATTCTACGCCAGAGGTTGGCAACCTACAGTATGCATGCCATTACTGGCATGCAAAGGAAGTTTTAACAATATGTGCAAGAAAAGCAGCATGTGCAAGAAAAGAACCAGTAAGCTACAAGAAATT